ATGTTTATATGAAAGTAGCTGTTTCAGGAGGACTTTCTTTCAGTTTGTGTCTGAAAGTTACTTCTTTGCATGAACTACACATCCATGTATGGAGTTACTTATTTTCAAATTGATTACTTCCTTCCTTTCTTTGGAAGATTCCCTAATCCTATTTTTGTATCAAGATGGAGTAGTAGAAAGCCAAAAACTTTCATGCTTTATATATTCTGTACTTCCTAGGTCAGTCGGTAGCCGAGCGGTTCGACGTAGGTGCTTTGTTCAATCAGTTAATCGGTCGATATGTGAGTCGATGGTTCAAGCCCCAGGCTGAACGCTCTATTTTCACTTGCTATCGTCCAACCTGTGTTAGGAATCACTGCGATAGCTGGTTAACGAAAAAAACACATAATAAAGTGATATTTTTCAAACAATTACCACCATCGCTAGGTCGTAAGCACACAAGTCTTAAAAGATTTGGGAAAGAAAGTTTTTGGCTTTCTACTTCTTATTCCATCTGAAATTCCTCCTGAAACAACTACTTTCATATAAACATTGAATTACACGAAAGAAAAAAATTCTTTCGAAACAAATACTTCTATATGAACACAGATAAAAGATATGTATCATGGAATTATGGAAATCAGTACCAACCAAATAATTGTCACTGTTTCAATCAAAATTATATCCAGCCAAATGACATTTATCGGTTTAATATCCTCACACGGACTCATCCCTGTTATTCCGGAAGGAGAAGCGCCACGCTCCGGCTAATGATTCGCACAATGTTTGTCCTTTTTGATCAACAGAATCGAATTCAAGTGAGTCTCACGAAGCATGAGAATTTGGAGCAGTTTTTGGAGCAGTCGTCAGGGCACGTTTCTCTTCCAATTCAGTTTAATGGTGGGGATGTCTTCTTTCTTTCTACTTGGCAGCTTATTGTCGGAATTCGTGACTTCTTGTTTTCAACTTCAAATTTACGATGTTTTATCTTAATTGTTTAATCTCCGAGGGGATTTTCTGACGACGCCGGGGTTCACTTGTATACAGAAGCGGTCAAAAACGTAGCAATCTATATTTTGATGTTGCTAATAGATGAGGTGGACTAATTCCTCACATCAAACAGGGTACACTTTTACTTGTAGATATACACATCAACGATTTCTGATGGAAAGTTGCAAAACATTTTCTTGGAAAAGCTTCTTGAGGAAAACCAGAGCCACTGAATTCAGGTGATGTTGTTAGGCCAATGATTATGTACGTAGTAATTGTTTGTTAGCCGAAAACTTCACAGATAACGTTTCGAACGGAGGTTTTCATATCTAGTACGTTGGTGGATCCAGAAGTATCTGGCCTGACCTAGAAATAGCGGTAGTTTGAAAAATATCACTGTAGGTATTAGAAAGTACATGATCTATGAAGTATACATTTCAAATTTGAAGACGCTGTGTCGTTTGGCAGCCATCACTCTCGAACTTTTCTGGTGAATTTAAGTCAAGTTAAGTCAGGTCAGGTCAAGTCAAGTCAAGTCAGGCCAAGTCAAGTCAGGCCAAGACAAGTCAGGCCAAGTCAAGTCAGGCCAAGTCAAGTCAGGCCAAGTCAAGTCAGGCCAAGTCAAGTCAGGCCAAGTCAAGCCAAGTCAGGCTAAGTCAAGTCAGGTCAAGTCAAGTCAGGCCAAGTCAAGTCAAGTCAGGCCAAGTCAAGTCAAGTCAGGCCAAGTCAAGTCAGGCCAAGTCAAGTCAGGCCAAGTCAAGTCAGGCCAAGTCAAGTTAGGCCAAGTCAAGTCAAGTCAGGCCAAGTCAAGTCAAGTCAGGCCAAGTCAAGTCAAGTCAGGCCAAGTCAAGTCAGGTCAAGTCAAGTCAAGTCAAGTCAAGTCAAGTAAAATCAAATCAAGTCAAATCAACGGCATGGTAGTACGTACGGTCTGGATTTAGATGATGGAATGTACACAAGGAAAATAACAATACATTAAGGAATACATAATACTATGAAAAACATGTTCACATAATAAATATGCATATACATAGTACACAGAATATTGACTTACATGAAAAACAGATTGGCATTAAATAAAAGTTCAAGTTAATAGTATTCATTCAAAGAGTGTAAACATTTCTCAACCAGGTATCCTTTGAGTCTTTTTTGAAAATAGGTTCATGTTTTGAGCTTTCGATAGAGGAAGGTAAGTTGTAGAAAATATTTGCGTTGATTCGAGCTGGAGCTTCATAGGAAATATTGCGTTTAGACAGTGGTAATCGTAAATCATCCTTACGACGTGTGTTGTATTCGTGGAAATCTTCATTTATGAAAAACAAATCCTTATTTGTGAACACAAATACAAATTTCGAATATGTAGAGGCCTGTTCAGGTCAGAATTTCAAATCTTTCAAAAATTTCTCTACAAGAATAATCTTTTTTCACACCAGCAATACACCTAATGATTTTTTCCTGTGATACGAGGACGTGATTCGACAGTGTAGAGTCTCTCCATAAGCCAATACCATACCTTAGTCGACTCTCTACTTGTGTGTGGTATGAATTTATTAATAGATGCTGTGTCAAAACAACTGAACATATTGTGGAGGGATGAAAGTTTGGAAATCAGGAGATTGCAATGTTCATTCCAATCAAAATGTGAACCAACAAATAATCCTAAGAATTTATAGCTATTATTTATAGGCAGATGTGTATTATTTAAAATTATATCTGCATCTACCAATTCCCTCTGATGACTATGGAATTTCACAAGGTTAGTTTTGTCTGCATTAAAATAGAGAGTGATTTGATTGAACCAAGAACTTAGTTGGCATAGAGCAGCTTCACAGGGTTTTTTTAGTTCTATGTGAAAGGCCTACGCCCTACCAATATAAAAGATGAACTGGATTCTACTCTATGTGAGTCTACTTCTTCGTTTACAACAGTAAAATATAGAGTTTGAACGTGGCCGTATGAGCTGTCGAAACGAGCATCGTAGTGGTCGACCAAATGACTGACTCCAGAGATGGTGGAGAAAATCCACAAGTGGTGATGGATACTGTTCTCTTCGAACAGAAGATCGAAAAGGTTCTTCAGAAAGAACAACACACGAAGATCGTACGGGACCCTACTGCATCAATTGAAAGGAAGTTGTGCCAGATTTTGAAGAGACACCAAGTCTATTTTTCGGAAAAGGAGAGATCATCGCTGACACTGCACCACAGTGAGCCCCTTCACTTGTATGGAATCCATAAGAAGGACGTTTCGCTAAGATCGATCATCAGCTTCAGAGATTTGGATACTCAAAACTTGTCTAGATTTTTACTTCCCCATAATACATACAAAAAACATCATCTTTTGTGAAGAATTCAAGGCATTTTGTCGCACTACTGGGGGCAATTTGAGTCGAATAGCAAGATCAACTAATCAGTTTCGACGTGAAAAGCTTTTACACCAATGTTCCGGTCGAAAAAGCACTCCAAGACGGGGACCTGAAAAATAGAACGAATTCACCTATAGAAGTAATCATGGTATTACTAGGATGCTGTGTACGAAACTGTTGTTTTCAACTGAAGGACGAATTCTTTACACGAGATGAGGGACTGCCAATGGGATCGCCACTTCCACCAGTCATAGCCAACATATATACATGGAGTGGTTTGAAACTCTGGCTATTGAAGAAGCCTACAAGAAACCCCGTGTCTGGTTGAGATACGTTGATGACACCCTCATAATATGGAACCATGGGAATACTGAACTATACGCCTTCCTGAAACACATCAACAGCATAAGACCTTCCATCATCACTTCCACAATGAGAAAGGAAGTCCACCACCAGTTCTGGCCCTTTCCTTATGAAGATTTACATGGGAAAACGCCTAAGGTCCATTCTGGCGTTTTTGGTTCCTTTCAAGGTCACGCGTACGGCAGAGAATCGAGCAGCGTTATCGTGGTTTGGAAGACAACGATTCGAGCGCGTTTGGAATGAGAACAAATACAAGGTATCAAAGAAAAAAACATGGTTGCTAGCGTTAAAGAAAAAAAACATGGCGGCAATGTAACGGGCATTGTAGGCGACGTAATTACGGTAGCGAGTGGGAAAGAGACGTGTGCGACGTGATCGACGCATAGAAGGATGGAATGAGCATCGAGTAGATTCATTTGATAGATAAGGGCGCGGTGGAATTACAAAAATAACGGTTCAATATTAATAATGAACGAAACATCGGATTGAAGAAAAAAACATGGCCACGGGCGTTAAAGAAAAAAACATGGTTGCCAACGTAATAGAAAAAAAACATAGCTGTCATACAGGGTGTCCCATCGTTTAGGGAAAAAAAACATGTACGGGGTGTCTCAAATATGTCAGCGTGGAAAATAATGATGTATTTGTTCTCATTCCAAACGCGCTCGAATCGTTATCTTCCAAACCGCGATAACACTGCTGTACGCGTGACCTTGAAAGAAACCAAAAATGTCAGAATGAACCTTAACCGTTTTCCCATATGAATCTCCATAAGGAATGGGCCAGAACTCATATAGCCCATCTACTCGTATTGGTGAAGAGGACCGACACTAAGTGGAAAACATCTGTATACCAAAAACCCACTCACACGAGATGGTATTTGAACCATGAATCCAAACACCATCAATCGACTGAAAGAGGAATCATCAAG